CCCCCCCCCCCCCCCCCCCTTCTCTTGTGAACTTGGACATAGAAAGGCGAGGAGAGATGGCCCTCGCTAGTGCAGCATATAGGGCCTGATAGAACTCTCCGAGTCTGGGTGGAGGATCTCTTGCATGGAGTTTTAGGTCGAGCGCGAGGCATTGGTTTTATGACTGGTTGGCTTATTGTCTATAATTTGTAATGCGAGGGATAATAATACTCTTCAACCTACTTACACCCTTGAATGAACATTTAGAGAATCGTGTGCTTGTAATATGGAGCGAGTGCTCTGCTCGTAGTTTGTCTTTCTTGGAAATCTTCTTGCTTTGGCTAGATATCCGAATCTTATTCTTAAAAGCTGTGGTATTTGAATCTTTTCCACCAAAAATCGTGGTATTAAAATCTTTTACCCTTTACTTATACTGTTTTCTTAAACTAAATGTCTGAGATTCTTGTTCGAAAATGTTGGATACCTCACTTGGTGGCAGGTAGTACTCAACGTCTATCTTAACGCATACTGTTCAGACTTCCTCCTCCTGTCTACACTACTAGCTATCTTACCCCATAAATTCAGGACTTGAGTGAATATTGACTCGTGTTGCTCGATCATTAGAAAGTATAACGTTCAATTCACTAGTCCACGTCTTCAGATAAGGAGCGATGCTATTTAACATTTGCCTATAAAACTCCCTTCCAGAGACCTTTTCCTTTCTTTGTTGTTCATGGTGCAAGCTCTCGACGACAAGAAGCATACGGGAGCCTGTGGTTGCCGGCTCCAACTTGTGATTCCTTACTGCTTTTTTGTTTGGGGTTGTGGTAACATTAAAGTCAAGACATTTGGTGTCGTCTATATTTCGTCAGGATATTGGCAATGGTAGTAAGAGCTGAGGCCACCGGGAATGGCCCACTTAAGCGAAACTCAACAAATGAGACCTTATTTACCAAAAATCATAAATTTTTAAGTCTTCTTATGAATCTCTGTGAAAATGGAACTTATTATTAATTAATAGTAGCCATACCCTTGTACTTAATTACATCCTCAATCTTACAAGTCAATTGCTTAGTGTAGTGGCGAAAGTCACGTGGGTTAACTCGGTCCTATAGCTTTTGCAACTCCTTTTTCAAATCCACTTTATTTTTGGGCATATAGTCCAAGTTTTTCAATTTCTCCTTCATCCACCTCTAGACTTTCTCAATAGGGTTCAAATCTGGTGAAGAAGGAGGCCAATTAAACCCTCGGATATTGTGCTGTAGTCTAGGT